AACTAAGGAAGTCAAAGACCATTACAAAGGAAACTATGGAAATCTCAAAAAAGATATTGAAAAGGACATAAAAAAGTGAAAAGACATCTCATATTCCTGGATTGGAAAAATTAACATATTCAAAATGGCAATTCTATCCAAATTAATCTATGTATTTAACACAATTCCAATCAAAATACCAGAGACATTCTTCAAAGATCTAGAAAAAATAATCATTGAATTTGTCTGGAATCATGAAAGACCTCATATCACCAAACCAATCACATGCAAAAAGAATGGGAGTGGGCAGCATATCACTCCCTGCTACAAAATATACTATAAAGTTGTGATAATAAAAACAGCATGGTATTGGCACAAAAACAGACAGGTGGACCAATGGAATAGAATAGAGACCCCAGAAGTAAACCCCAAAGCTTACATCCAACTCTTTTTTTTTTTTTTTGGAGAGGTTTTTGCTATGGGGCATATGTGCTTGCCAGACAGACAGAGAGAGACAGAGAGACAGAAAGTGAGAAATCACCCCCCAGGGGGGATGGCCACATCACAACCCCTTCTCCCCAATTATCCTCTCAGGATCTTGGGCATGCACGCACATGTGCCTGGCCTGAGTTTTAAGCCATCAGGTCTGGGACTCAAACCGTGGTCGACTACATGGGAGTCCAGTGACATAGCCATTACACTAACTGCTGGTCCCCATCCAACTCATTTTTGCCAAAGGATACCAATCAATCCAGTGGGAAAAGGAAAACCTTTTTAGCAAATGGTGCTGGAAAAACTGGGTATTCACCTGCAGAAAATGAAATTGAATCCCCATCTTTCACCATTAACAAAAATCAACTCAAACTAGATCAAAGATCTGAACTCAAGACCTCAAACTATAAAACAACTGGTGGAAAATACTGGGAAAACTCTGGGAGACATTGAAGTAGGCAAAGACATCTTAAATAAGACTCCCAAAGCACAGGCAACAATCCCTAAAATATCCAAGTGAGACTATATCAGGTTAAGAAGTTTCTGCACAGCAAAGAACACAGTAATTAGTGTGACTTGGCACCCCTCAGAATGGGAGAATATTTTTGCAAAATATGCCTCAGATAAGGGACTGATAACCAGAACACACAGGGAACTCAAGTAGCTTACCGCACCCCCTCCCCCAAGAAAAGATTAAACCAATTAAAAGATGGGAAAATTAGCTGAACAAAAATCTCTCTAAAGAAGACATACAACAGCCAAAAAGCATATGAGGAAATGCTCCATATCCCTTATCATAAGGGAGATGCAGATTAAAACCACCATGAGATACCACTTAATCCCTGTCACAATGGCTAAGATTAAAAATACAAAAAGTGATAAATGTTGGCAGAGTTGTGGTGAAAGGGGAACTCTCCTACATTGTTGGTGGGAATATAATTGGTTCAGCCACTGTGGAAAACAATATGGAGGTTCCTCAAGAATCTACCATTTGATCCAGCAATCCCACTTCTGGGTATCTACCCAAAGGACAGGAGAATGCTCAGTTGGAAAAGCACTTGCACATCAATGTCTAGTGCAGCATTATTAATAACTGCTAAGACAGGGAATCAACCCAAATGTCCACCAACAGATGAATGAATTGAAAAATTGTGGAATACACACTCTATGGAATATTATTCAGTCATAAAAAAACAAGACCCTGGCATTTGATAGAAAGTGGTTGAATATGGAAGATTTATTGCTGAGTGAAGCATGCCAGGCTATGAAGGAAAGATACTGTATGTATCCGCTTATTATATATCGACTATCCACACTGTATGGTAGAGACTGAAATAATGGAGGGCATAAAAGCAGTGAAAATAATTATGGACGCTGAAGACAGTGTGGAATGGGGGAGGAGGAGAAGGGAAGAGTATAGAGAAGGATAGCATGAGAACAAATTGAGAGGCATGACATTTGTGGGACAAAGAAACAGTTTATTACCTGATGATGCTAACATGGATAGTATTCTCTATTGGACAGATCTGGGAAGTATTTCATGTTAGCTAAATTCTCTTTACAAGCCAAATGCTGTATAGTGATTGAATGTTTAAAAAAACATGAGGATACAAAAACAATAATAATAATCTGAAAAAAAAAACCCAAAAGCTATTTGATGATGATGATGATGTGGACAGTAATGTCTTTGTCTTGACCGATATGCATGGTACTCATGCTGGGAAAAGAAATGTTATACACTTTAAAGATGTATGTGATTAAATGTAATATAAAAATAATAATAAATTTAATTAAAAGAATTAAAGGGCATTTCAGTCCATAGCACTGAGTAGTGTGTAGATTGCGTCTCTGAAGCAGGTAGCATGTTGGGATGGACATAGAGATGAGGGAGAGAGGGGTCTAAAAAGAGGTTCTTTACAAACCATTGCATTGAGCTTGCTGCTGATCTGTTTCTGTGTAAAGTCATGTGTATGTCATAGAAATCTGCAAGGAATTTTAAAGAGTTAGGAAATGATAGATTCCTTTTGACAATATCTGGATGCTAGAAATAAGTTTCTGGACTTTGTCTCAAACAATGGGCCCGAAGTGTGTCATTACCCTTCAGGGCTGCTTGCTGGAGGGCTGTGCATATGAGAATGTGTGTAGTAGGATTTGGTCTATATTCAGTAAGAGGAATTTAAAACACTCATTATCTCAATTCTTCTCTCAAGGGGGAAAAGCAAGCTGTAATGATGCAAAAAAAAAAAAAAAAGAAAAGAAAAGAAAAAGAAAAGAAAAAAGCTGTATGGACAGCTCAGACTCAGTTTTTAGTACAATCGGAAGAACCCAGCGAGAGCTGGTTGTGCTGAAACGGGAGCCGAGTGTGAGAACCTAGTGCTTTCCTCCCAGCGCTCCCACGTCCTTGCGGTTTGGGGTGCAGGGCTAAGCACACCATACTGCGGCTTGTTCTGGATGGATGGAAGAAAAGAAAAGAAAAAGAAAAGAAAAAAGCTGTAGCTGTGTCTTCTTGCAAGCCTTTTCTCTCGTCTATTTATTTAAAAGAATGCTATCACAAGGGAAACCTGAGCTTATCATACTACCTCCCACCTTCATGCTTTTGTACATGCAGAACTTTTTGTCTTAGATGCCCTTGCCCAGATTTCCTGCATAAACAACTCCTTTTCCTTTAAAATTCAGCTTAGAATTCTGCTTAGAATATATTGCATTAATTCCTAGCAGCCATCAATGCTCCCAGAAATAACTAAAAACTATGGATAGAATACAAAAAGCAACTCTACTAAAGACTTTGAAAGGCAATTAAAAGCAAGCAAAATTTCGTGTGTGGAAAGGACTGGGATAGAGGGAGTTCTTCACTTCTGTGGCTTTGGTATGAGGATGGACTGTGATCTTGGCATAAAGTGAGGAAAATGAAGCTCTGCTAGAAAACTCGCAATTGGCCCAGCTGTGGTGGCACAGTGGTAACACAACACTCTAATGTAGAAGCCACATGGAAGCTCAGGGCCCAGTTCCCAAGTTAACCTGCACATGCCAGGTACGCATGTGCATGCCTGTGATTCTGGTCAACTGGAAAGACTGGGAGATGGGGGATCATGGTGTGAGACCTTTTGAAAGGTCACATCTTGTCTTCTAAAAAGAAAGAAAAAAGGAAGAAAGAAAGTCCACCATCTTTCAGAGGAACAAGAGGGCAGAGCCTAAGATAGCACAATCACCAAAAAGTAAAGAGAGGAGGTAGATCCAGGAGAGGCGAAATCTAGAGAGGGGGACTCTAGATTCTGTGTATAAACTTTGTTCAGGTATCTAGTCAAGCCCTGAACCATATGTTCAAGAAGAGTCAAAGTAGCCAAAATAAGGATTATTCTCATTGATGGCCTTTCTTAATTTCAAAATGGCTGTAGTCCTACTGAGCCTCAAGCTGGCCTGCCTCCGTGATATTATGCTTTCCCCTAAGGTGTTCCTCTTGAGTTAGGGGTGTGCTGAGACAGTAGTGATGCCATCAACATTGGGAATAGTACCTGTGAGCAAACACATTGGCTTTCTCCAAATAAACTGAGTCATTTGCTGTGTGTCTTGATATAGGAAATAATTGGGCACACTAAGGTAATTACTTCACTCAAAGTCCTCTACTCTTCAGTGGGGGTGGGGGTGGGATTCAGATCTTGGCAGCTGGACTCCCAAGGCTACCTTCCACAGTACACGAGTAAGCCCTGTTAATGAACATGCTTTAGTCCTGAGTTCTCACTCCCTCACCCTCCCCTGTCCCCACCCTCCTCTCCTGTGGCAGAATGCAGTCACCGTACCCCTATTTAACCCTCCTACAGACCCGATGGGGAAATAGGATTCTATCCACAGTACAGATGAGGAAATTAGAGCATCCTTCACCCCCTCTCCCCATTGTTGACCCTTGTCTAGGCAGTGCCGTCTCTGCCTGCCCAGAGTGAAGACATTGGGGTTGGGATAGATGATGCTTGGAATGGGGTTTTCCCAGTTTGAAGAACTAAACACTCCAAGATCTGTTGGGAAATTGCCTTTCCGGAGCTCTAAAGGAACTTGCAGAACTTTCTAGGACCCTTGATCAGCTCCTTTATAGGCCTGGTGACCATCTCCTCAGCCCACCTTTCACGCTCAGCTCAAAGGCCACCTTTGTGCGCCACCCTAAAATGAGCTAGCTATTCTCTCCTCTGCGTGCCCACGGCTCCCTTACAGGGGCATGATCCTGCAGTCACAACTGCTGTGCGTCAGCAGCATCACACTCAGGAAAGAAGCCTGGAGGCGGACAGACCTGGGGAGGGGCGGTTACGCCAGGGCTGGGGCTTATTGAGAGACAGAATAACAGGAAGGTGTGCATATTCTCAGCTCTGTTACATGCAAAGGGGAAAGGTGGAGGAAGGCTGCTGGGCCCTGCCATGTGGAAGGTTAGAAGTCCCCTGAGTGGGGGAATCTCAGCACACCACCACAGCTTCGCAGCAGAAAACCTTGGCATACAGTGAAAACCTATGGAAGCAAGACACTTACATTTCAAGGACCCTTACCTTTATCATGGAAGCACCTAGAAAGAGGTGATCTGTTTCCTCCTTTTTTTTTCAGTCCACCCAGAATTTTCAGCATGGGTGAGCTAGCAGCTTCGGGTTGTTCAGAACTTGCCCACTTTTTGATTCCAGCTGACGTCTAAGGAACATCTCCACTAGTTGTTAGGGTGATAGGGGAGAAGAAGATTAAGAGCACCCCAGGTCCTGGACCAAGAAAGGTGCCGATGTTGAGTCTGGAGGCCTGGGTCTAAGTGTGGCCTTAGGTCAGGAGATCAGAGCCTTCGCCAGGCCCTTCCTCTGGGGTGCCCTGGCTTGCCTGCTCTTTTTTTTCCCCCTCAGGTCATTTTCTGAGACCCCTGTCTTACTCTCAGCAAAATGAGACAGTCTCTTCTTGAACTTCTCAGCATCCTGTCCACTCAATTACCTGCCACATTTAATTATGACCTCACAGCCAGTGCCATGAAGTGGAAAGAACTTGAGGTTCAGGGTCCCCATCTGAGCTCTGCCTCTTCATGTAAGGAAGTCCCTTTTTCTCTTTAGGTCCCTGTCCCCAACTGTCGTGAGATTTTAAAGATGAGAAGAAAAGCTTGTGCATAAACTCTCATCATTGTAATGAGCACATGCTAAGTGCACAATACATAGTAAGTCCTCCCCTAAGAAGGCGGAGACCTCTGTGGAACAGGTGCCCACCCCTCTGTGCATCTCTGAGGACCTGGACTTTGCCACCAGGCCAAGTGTGTTCACACCCTGGCTATGCTGTGTATGAGGTGGACGGACTTAGCCCAGATCACTTGACTTCTCCACATTTCGGTTTCCCAGTCTACACAATGGTTCCTTTTGTTGGGGAAAGCATGGATCGTAAACCTGAAGTGTCTGGTAGTGCCTGGCACTTACTATTATAAAGGGCTCCAATTGCCACACTAAGCCCTTCACTAGGGGCTGTGAGGCCAAGAACTGTTTCTGTCTGGGTCACTGCTGTGTCCTCGAGCTGCAGGGTACAGCTGCACAGCTCGTGCACTGCGCTAAAGCATCTTCTGTGGAGAGTGAGGCGAGCCATGCTCCCCGGAGCTGTGAAGAGCATCAGCCTGCCAGCACGGTGCCAAGTGGGCATCCACGTGGAGTCAGATGCCTAATGTTTGACCAGCTCCATAGAACATGCTGAATGAATGAATAAATGAATGAACAAGGCTTACCGTCTCTATGATGTGCAGCTAATAAGCCTCACTTCTGTGAAAACTGAGCTGTGGAAGTCATGAGTAAAGGAGGCTTCTCCTGATACCGCCCTGAGGAGGGAGAAATGGCCTTGGCAGCTGGACCCTGAGCTGCCCTGAGCTGCCCTGAGCCATCCACCCACCCATGTACCCCGTCCACATGGTCCTCCTGCCATTCTGGCTGTCCCAGAGTACTGTGACTTCCTCCTGCATGTGTCCCCTGCTCACTCCCTGGGAAGAGCTACTGAAGCCCAAGGATGGCCATAGCTCTCTGGGCAAGCTCTGGAGGTCAGAGTGGCCGAGCCTCTGCCAGCTGAGATGCAAGAAACAAAGGCTGCAGGCCGGGCCTTCAGCTGGGCCTTTGCTTTCAGTGGGTAGCCCACTGAGCATGCAGGTGAGAGGAGGTTGCTCCTAGTGCTTGAGGAGGGCCAGGTCCCTGGCTGGGCAGGGCCGCAGCTCTGCATTTCCTTAGCTCCTCCACCTGCTATTCTCCACCCTCCTCCACTCCCACTCTCTCACTTGGCCTTTTCTTTCTCTGGCAGATGCTGTCCACTCCGAAGGTGTCTGTGCACACCGTGGATATGTGGAAATGTCAGGGCTCTTCTTTTCTGTGCAGTTAAAATGCCCTTCAGAAAGACCTGGGATTTCACAGCAAAGCTGCAGAACCAGAGACTTGGGCGTGGATCCTGGCACTGTGAATCCCAAGCTGTGACACCCTGGACAAGTCACTTCCAACTCTGAGCCTCAGGCTCCTCACCTGTACAGTGAGCTGTGTGCGAAGCACTGAGTGCTAACATGGTGACATCCCCTAGTCCCCAGCACCATGTCTGGCCCATGACAGAGCAGAATAAATATTAACACACAGCTTTTCCCCCAACCCACATAAGACCAAAGACCTTAGGAGGCTCATAACACAGATTCAAACAGCTGCTTTCGGGGTGCTCATTCACTTGGAACATATTTACGGGTCTGTCCTGTGTGCCAGGTCCCAGGCCAGATGTTGGAGCAGGTCACATGGTGAGCACAATGTGACATCCCAGCACCTGGTAAGGTAGCCTGTATGAATGGCAGAGGCATGTGTGCAGGGCATCTGGGAGCTAGTGGCCCCACACTCAGCCTCAGGACTGCCTGGAGGAGGAAGAGGAACTGTGGAGGTCCAGGTGGGAGAGCGGCCTGTTCTGAGGTACACACTGAAGCACATACCAGAAGGAGGGTGTGAGAAGCAAGCATGAGGCCACCAGAGGGCTCAGTGGCACCAGGCCACACACACAGCACTACCTAGCTCAGGGTGCGCTTCGTCCTGAGGGCACCAGGCAGCCAGGGGTGGGCTGCAGCAAGAGTACAGTGTGATCCCACTTAGGATTTGCAAACAACCAGCGAAAGAGCTGGAGGGGATGATGGCTGAAGTGGCAAAGAAATCAAAGCTCAACACCTTTTCCTCTTTTATGCCCTGGAATCGGATAGACCTGGGTTTAAATCTCAGTACCACCATTTAAGATTTAAGTGGACTTGGATAAGCCCATTTTCCTCTCTAAGTCCTGGGTTTCTCATCTGTAAAACAGGAGTGGTTTACAACATGTGTCTTGGGACTGCTATTAAAAATAAGCTGAATTTACCCATGTTCAGTGCATGCACGGAACGAGCACTCAGTAAATGGAAGCTGTTACTGCTGCCTTTGCCCCTCAGTCATGGTCATGCACGTAGGCACCCTTTGCCCTAACGTACCCTTGGACTTGCATAAGAGTCGCTCCCCGTTTTTACAGCTAGCACAAAGTCAACCACTGTCAGCAGCTCTGGGGTGAGGGTGAATGGAACGGGGCCTCACAGGATTTGTGCTGTAGCTCAGTTGCTTAGCAACAGCATCAGCATCTGCATCACTGCAGAGCCAGGCTGCATCAGGCAGCAGTCAAAACAAAGGCAGCAGAAATGAGTCACAGCCAGTCTCTGGGACTGGTAGGAGCAGGGCCTTGTTTTTGGCAGGGATCAGATACACCCAGAATTTAGCTCTAGGGAGGACCCAGGCCCTGATTCTAGCTTCCTCTGCTTCCCCAGTAGGGCACACATCCCT